GACTAGGAAAAGAATATTAAGAAAAAAAACCAAAATAGTATCTAGATTTTGGTTTCTAACACTATTCTCTAATAAAAGGAGGAACTCTTTGGCAAAATGGCAGTTTATAGGGCTATAGCAGGAAATACACAAGATAAACCTGGAGCATTTGGTAGTGTCAGAAGTGGTTTTAAATGCTTAAATACACACGCAAAATCTTATATGGGTATGTCAAAGAGGCGCAGGAGGCAACTGAAAGAACTTCCAATGGTTAAAGCTGAAATAGTATGAGCAAAAAATGAAGTAGCATTGGATTAAAATCCAAAGTATAAAATAAGTCTTCAAGTTCATACCAATATAAACAATTGAATAAGTAAATAAATGTGGGCGAATAAGCAAATCTTCTAGGCAGAATAATCAAATACTTTATTCACTTCCTCAAGGAAGTACAGCCTAACACAGGCTGTGCATAAAGACTTCCTTTGAAAGAACAGTATATGTAAAGAGGGGAAAAGAAACTTGACAATGGAGAAACCTGACAAACACTACCTCAGCCAGTGATCAAGGTTAACATCAACAGTGGTAAGTCATGCTGACAGTATATACCCTTGATATGATGTAATGAGAATGGTATTTTATTTCTGTGGTCTTCCTTTCAAGAATACATGAGAAAAAATAAAAAATAAAAATCAACAACAACAATATATACACATACATACAGTGAAAAAAACCCCATGAGTCTAATCATGAGAAAAACATTAGACAAATCCCAATAGAGGAACATTCTACAATATCCCTCACTAGTACTCCTCTAAATTGTCAAGAACATCAAAAATAAAAAACATCAGAGAAATCATCACAGCCAAGAGAAGAATAAGAAGATCTGAAAACTAAATGTAACTGGGGTATCCTGGATAGAATCCTGGAACAGAAAATAATAAAGGTAAAAACTAAGAAAATCTGAATAAACTATGAACTTTAGCTAATAATAATGTATCAATATTGGTTTATTCATTGTAACAAATCCACCATACTACTGTAAGATGTTAATAAAAGGAGAAACTATATAATAGGGTATGTGTGTATTGGGGGAGGGCATATGGAAACTCTTGTACCATCCTCTCAATTTTTCTGTAAATCTAAAAATGCTTTTAAAAAGTCTGTTTAAAAATATTCAATAGCTAACTGTAATGCCACCACAGTATTTACACTGTGAGATATATTTTTATCAGTTTTGTTTTCCTTTATGTGCATGTGTATTCACATACCCAACAGGTTTCGTTTTTCTATTTTAGTCAAATGATAAATACATGTTGACCATAGAAAACTTAGAAAATAGAGGCTTTTAAAAACTTCTGTAATGTCACCACTCACAAATAAATGATTGCCATTTTGACATACAGTCTTCTAGCTGCGTATGTATATATCTATTTATCTATGTACTACTCTATCACCCATTTCCTAATTCATACATAAACATACTTAGATTTTGTCACAAAGTTATTTTCTCTGGGAAATCCTCCCTGGTTCTTAAAACAGATTTAATCTCTCTAATAGGCACTTATATAGCTCCCTGTACTACTCTTTCCTAGTGCTTCTTTGTAATTAAATGATCAGTTGAGAAATTAATCATTATTAATGTCTGTCTTTCCACAAAAATGTAAGCTTCATATATTATTCATCATAGTTTCCCCACCATGGTACCTTAAACACAGCAAGTATAAAATGAATAATAGCTGACTAAATGAATGAATACTACATGAACATAATGAAGTAACTATATAGCTATTAAAACCATATGTGTATCTATGGAAAATGTTCAAAATAGCTTAGTGAAAAGTAAGATGCGGCCTGGCAGGCAGATAACCTGAGGCCAGGAGTTTGAGACCAGCCTGGCCAACATGGTGAAAACCTGTCTCTACTAAAAAATACAAAAATTAAAATTAGCTGGGTGTGGAGAAGTGTGCCTACAGTCCCAGCTACTCAAGAGGCTAAGGCAGGAGAATTGCTTGAACCCAGGAGGCAGAGGCTGCAGGGAGCTGAGATGGCACCACTGCACTCTAGCCTGGGCGACACGGCAAGGCTCTATCTCAATCAATCAATCAATAAGATGCGAAACAATGTGCACAGCAAATTCTCATTTTCCGTTTCAGTAATAACAAAACCTTACTATGTGCATAGAAAAAAATACAACAAAAAGTTCCAAACTGTTAAGTCTGGGTGGAGAATTTCAGTAAGTTTTTACTTCCTAGTGTATATATCTGTCATGTTTCAATTTTTATTAAGTATGCATTATTTTTATGAACAGAAAAAAAGATAAAATATGCCTTCAGTATGGAAAAAGTAGAAAATAAAGGCAAATTCTTTTTTAAAAAACTAAACAACCTGTTATTATCAATCGCATATTACCAGACACAATCACAATTAACACTACAGTATATTTCCTTTTAATTTGTGCCTTGAACATTTATTTTTATTTGACATGCTACAGGTAAATTTATATTTTGATATTTTGACTTTTATGTCTCATTTCATCCTGACAATCACCTTATCAGGCAGACAATCCTTGGCCACATTAGCAGCAGCACAAATGAACTGAATCATAAGCATGTGGTCCCAGCGCTGGTTAAAAGCAGACAAAAGAATGGAGTCTCCTGACTCTCAGTCTTCCACTTCTCTTTAGCCTTCACAGTTCAGTAACTAATTATCAAAGTTGAGATACCATATGAAATTGAACAGCTCTACAAGTTTAAACACTTTCATAATATTTCAAATGTTGATACAATTAGTCAAATGTTTATTGTAGCCTTAGAAGGAAACATATCTGTAATCATTAAAAAGAAGAACACCAACCAGCATAACTACTGATATATGAACAGTTTGGATAGATCTCAAGGGAATTAGGCTGGTTGTAAAAAGCCAATCTCAAAGGCTATATACAAACACTGTATGATTCCATTTATATAGCATTCTCAAAATGATGACATTTCAGAAACGGAGAGCAGATTGATGGTTACCAGGGAATTGGCAAGGGGAAGACTGAGGATAATCATAAAGGGGTAGCATAAGGGAAATCTTCGTAGGTATCAAACAGTCTGTATCCTATTTTGATAGTTAGACAAATCTACATAGGTAACAAAATTGCATGCATGCATGCATACACACACACAAAGGTATATAAAACCAGTGAATTCTGAATAAGGCTTATGGATTATACCATTGTCAATTTAATGATTTTGCTATTATAATATAGTTTTGTAAGATGTTATGATTGGGGTAATTGATGAGGAGTAGACAGAAGATCTCTGTACTATATTGGCAACTTCCTGTGAATATTTAACTAAAAAAAAAGTTTTCAAATGAGCAAAAAAGATAGGATAAATGACACAAAATCTCATAATTTACCCTTGCCAGAAACCCCTTTTATTAGGGTTTCATAAATGTTCAATACACAGAGTAATAAATGTATGCGAAGAAAAATAATAATGGGAGAATTTCTAACAGCTGTCCAACAACAGAGTGGAATCTCAGGCAGGCAGTAAGCTCCTCACTGGAGGTATGTGAACAGAGAGAATGATTTTCTGAAGAGGGATATGATAAGAATGACTCAATTTATAAGTAGGACTAAACACCTATTATAATTCTCCTTTATGAATTTAGCAAACCTGGTATAAGTGAGGCAAAATTCCTTCCCTTTCCAGCTTGCAATCATGTCAGATGCTAATAGATGACACCCCTCCTTACCAAACGTCCCCTACAAGCCTCCTAATTCTCAACAGGTGCTTCAAGTAGCTACTACCCATCAGTCAGTTAGTATTTGCTTTCCTAAACCAGAAACTACCTAACAATGAGGTCAATGTTCTACAAACTGTCTGAAAATAGCAAAGGTATAATACGTTAATTCAAAAGTAAAGCTCTGGCACACCTTGCACTATAACCAAGAAGACAACCTAGTAAGATCCAAAGAAGACTGGCTCCAGCTATAACAATTTTCATCATCAGTATAATACTTGAAATTTAGTAACTACTCATATCTAATGTCCTACTAGCACTTACCTTTTAAATTATTCTTACAGAAAAGGTGGAGAAATTATTCCTGGTCTATAACAGGTGAAATTCTGGCAAATGGATGGTAAGCAATAATTTGCCCCAAATGTAGTTTAAAAAAAGCATGCCCAATCACCACTTATAAAACTCAAGGCTTTGAACCTTTTGAGTGATCTATAAACCACCTTTCTTTAAAAAGGAGCAAAATTGTTGAAGAAAATCTCAAATATAAGTAAAAATAAGTGTATACTGATTAACTATACTCATTATCTCTGAAGTAACCAAAGAGTTAATCACTGATTTTTGAAAGTTCTTAAATAAAAGAAAGTAAAGTAAACCAAAACTGGTTGTAACTGCCATACAGGAAATTTTCTGTTGGATACAGAGAGGATTCTAGGAGTAACTTTTGATAATAATGGAAAAGGGCACTTTGGCTAATGGATGGACCTAGAACACTGAGATAAAAGGTACTTTGAAGTGTTTTACTTTTTAATAGGTTTTAAGGAATAAGAAAGGATAACACCAACTACTTCAACTAGCCAATATATAAAATAAAAACACTAGATGTGGACCACTGTTTTCTAATTTTGTGCACCATCAATCCCTCTTAAATAGTTCTCCTCTATAAGGCTATCTGTTCTAACGTTATAGGCCTTCTAATACCAAGTTTATAAATGCACCCATTTAGAGCAAAGCAAACTGACTGCCATTTCTGGCAGTGTTACTGTGGATGATGTTTTACTCTTTGTTTACCTTCTTCATTTGCAAAATGGGAAGCTTCTCCCAATGAAAAATATCATTAAAAGGTCAACTACAAAGCAGAACCAACATGAGATTTTATTACAAATAACAAAATACCTTCTTTGTAACAAAGATATTCTTGTGCTTTAAAATTTACTTTTGTTTTTCTCTTGGTAATCACCATTGAAATTGCTAATATATGATGTAAAGTAAAAAGATTTTGAAAGACTCACCTAGGCAGAACTGGCTGCCTCCTTCAGTCACCCATTACTTTTGGCCTTGTGACCTTAGTTTCTCTTTATTGCCCAGTGTCACTCTTTCCTGACCTCCTTAGTCTCTCTTCACTCCATAGTGTCACTCCTACCAACAGAAATCACTTGATACAGAATTCAGTGATAAAATGTCTACCCCCACCATACTGTAATTATTTGCATATATAGCTGTCTCCCCCACTACCCTCCTCAAGAATAAAATACTCTGTCTCATGTATTTTATATCCCTAGTGCTGATCATGATGCTTACACATAGTTGACACTGGGGAAATGTTTATTAAGACATTGAGTAGGGCTGGGCTCATGCCTGTAATCCCAGCACTTTGGGAGGCCAAGGTGGGCGCATCACCTGAGGTTCGGAGTTTGAGACCAGCCTGACCAATATGGCGAAACCCCATCTCTTTAAAAAAAAAAAAAGACATTGAGTAATGACTACAAAACTCTCTAGGGAGAAACAGTTCCACTGTTTACTAGAATCTTATTTCCAAGGTTTTCTAGATGAAATAAAATAGAATATAAACACTAACAATTTGCGCTTTGCCTTGGTACTTCACTGTTTTTCATACCTGGGAGTTAAATGACCTTACCCAGACCAGCTAGTTGAGCCTCTCATTTCTCTGTGTCAAAGTTTAAGATCCTCAGGGAAGGAATCATGTTTTATTTACCTCTGTACTCCTAATACATGGTTATAAAATATGGGTTCAATAAATATTTGCTGAATAAATGCATTATTAAATCGATCCACATTGCTGGGTGTGATGGCTCACACCTGTAATCCCAGGTATTCAGGAGGCTGAGGCAGGAGGATAGCCTGAGTCTGAGTGGTAGGATGCAGTGAGCTTTGATCATACCATTGCACTCCAGCCTGGGTGACAGAGAGAGATCCCATCTCGATACATATGTACATATGCCTTTTCCTTAGTGTGATCATGGCAAATAGGTGGAGCTGAGCTGTCAAGCACTTTTATATAGAGAGGGGAATTGAGCAGTGATGGGGCCACTGAAAAGTCAGAAGCAGTTCATTTCCTTGTAAAGTTTCAATTTGCTTGGCAAATTCAAGTTCCCAAGAGGAAGTGCTACCTTTCTATTTTGGAACTGATTTTAAAAAGATGTTTGTGAGGTCTTTGGATTTGGTTTCTCTCAATAACATACAAACCAAATTTCTCAGCTTATATATTAAATGATGATTTTCTAACTGGGATCTGAAAATCCAGCTGTGCCATACCCACTGCTTTCTTATGTCTATCCCTCTTAGTGACTAAGATTCTTTTATATGAATTTAGGTTATCCTGATGACCTAAATTCATATAAATACATATATTTTGGTTACCTTATATAAAGTTAAGTTGAAGAATGGATTAAGATCTTAAAATAGCTACAAATACAAGGTGACCATATGAATATAACAGAAAACTGGTAAAAATTAAAAAAAAACCATAGACTAATCTAACTTCTACAGTTTAGAAATCTAGCACCATATAGTTTGAATTTGTTTACTAAATGTTCTAAATTGTAAGAGAAATCTGATCTCAAATAATCTCCATAGACTATAAGCAGTTAAGTATCCCCATTTGCTAAGCCATTTTAGCCATCTATCTTGAACACTTAACTTCCCCCTCCTGCTACTCCCTTCCCTCAACACACAGATTCATCTTTGGATTTTAAAGAATGACGTAATGAACTTTCACATTAGTGGTCTATTAACTTTGATAAAGGAGACACTCAAAAATATCAATAACAAACACTTTCAACTATTATCTTGTGATGACAAACCATACTGCTCTGGGTCTTGGTAATCTTTCAAATAGATAAATAAAGCCAGAAATTTTAAATTAGGAGAAATAAAAGAAAGGACACAACATATCTCCAATAAAAACAGAAATGCCAGAATCATTTAAAAACATTCATAAGAATACATATTTTCTACTGTCATAAATGAAACAAAGCTAAAAAGCGCTCTTCTGAGACTCCCTCTATTTATTTCAATCTGCACTTTCTATCTGATGACAGCATTTTCTGGATACAAGGAATATTTCCCTCATCACAGAAACTGTCTGACTTATCTAAGAGAAACAAAAATCATTCTTGGCTCCAGGATCCAATATCCTAGCAATGTTGGAAAAACAACTCCCTAAAATGTTAAGATGGTTCTGAAACTGATAGTCTCTCATTTTCTACGCAACACAGAATTAATCAGCATCTATATTCTTGATACTATTCTATTTAGGAAACAGCTTGACATGTGGGAAGGAAAAAAAAAATTACTGGTGACAAAGAGCTCATGCTATCTATAGGCAGGCAGACAAGAAATCTATCTCGTGTACCATATTTTTTAAATCTTCAGAAATTAAGTTTAGCAAGGCAAAATAATCCCCAAAGGGCCCACTATTATTTGCTCAAGTAAACATATTCAACAACAAACCACATCCAAAAATACTGAGCAGCCTATGATATTTGACTATCATTTAAAGCAAGCCTTTAGAATATGTAAAGAAAATCCAAACATTTCTGATACATTTCTGCTTTCCACAGTAACTAATAATACCACTGGACAAACTATACTTTGAAAAGACCATAAATGAGTAACCTGGATTTTAAAAATAAGGAAGTATTTCAAGTTTCATACTAAAAAGTATTCCCAGATGATTGCCAACATGATGGTAAATAGTACATTAATGTTTTAATAACTACAAAATCAAATATTTGGATGTTAGGTTCAGCTTCTCTCTGCACTCATCAGATTATGGTTCTAAATAAAATAAATCATTGTTGGGGCAAGGCTATGTTTAAACTGGAATCAGCAGTTCAATAAAGAAATAACCCAATTATTTATTGTAAATTCCTATGCCAATAAGATAAAAACTCAAACTTGGCACTAATGTATTCTAAACATCTGTCTGTATTTCTTTAACACTCATATTTCATGTAAATAAAAAGCAGATAATTATGAAACAAGTTCCTTTTTATAACATATATAAATATATATGACAAAAGATCAGTATTAAGCATTAGTGGAACACTATATCAACAATAATAAAATACATTCAGACCTAATCTTCCTTTTTAACAGAAAAGAAAAACTAGGCATAGATCTTTGTTGGCTTGATTTTTATGTGAACCCTGAAAAACTAAAACCAAAAGTTAAAAAAAAAAAATCCATACCCATGCTAGATTTTCCTTTTGATATAATTAGAATCATTATAAAGACAGTGTAAGGGGAAAAAATACAATGTTATTGCAATAGCCAAAGATAAAATGCTAAAAATTAAGGAAGATACTCACATTTTGAAGATTTAAGAATTAATTGATAAGCCACATTATGGAAGAAGAAGAAAGAAAAGAAAAACACGTTGGTCAAAGCACCCTGAAACAGCAACAGTGCATACTGACTTCAGGGAAACCTCAATATCACAAATAAGAGCAACAGCTCAACTCCCTCACAGCTTCGTGACAACCAGTACTCTCAAGTCCCAATGGAACCGACTCTGATCTGATAATGGAACCTTCACTCTCCAATGGCAAAAGATCACTTTACAGTATATCACATGTATTTTAATCCATTGATTGGCCCATTAGTACATAAACATTTTTAAAAGCTTTCCTGATATGATCCTCAATTTCCTCTTCAATGAAAAAGAAAGTACATCTACCTTACGTAGTTGTGAGAATTAGACAATGTATACAGAGCTTCTAGCATGAGGATCTTGCAGGCTATCTGCCACAAGTACTTATTTTGAATTACCACAAAACTGTATAATAAACATTTTTTTAAATAATGGAAAAAAGCAAGGCCTCAATTGAAGATCTGACTTAATGCAGACCAAATTTAGTAACTAATTTTCTTTTCATTCACCATTAAAAGTGCTCTTTATAAAAATTATTTTAGGCCACGCACAGTGGCTCACATGTGTAATCCCAGCACTTTGGGAGGACGAGGCAGGAGGATCACAAGGTCAGGAGATTGCCACCATCCTGGCTAAAGAAATGAAACCCCACGTCTGCTAAAATACAAAAAAAATTTTTTTTAAATTAGTTGGGCATGGTGGCACATGCCTGTGGTCCCAGCTATTCAGGAGGGAGGCAAGAGAATTGCTTGAACCCAGGAGGCGGAGGTTGCAGTGAGCTGAGATAGCGCCACTGCACTCCAGCCTGGGCGACAGAGCGAGACTCCATCTCAAAAAGAAAATAAAAACTTACCTTAACAAAATTACCAAAGGTTCTATTCAATAAAGAAGACAAACAAAATATAAAGTAAGGAAAATAGAAAGAAGTAATACTTATTGGCTGCTAACTATACTAGGCATAATGCTACAGGTATATTGTAAGAAATCCATAATGTAGTTTTATTGATGAGGAAACTGAGGCCCTGACAGCTATTCATGCAGCTATTCCATGACAGTGTTGGGATTCAACCTGGTCTGGGTGAAGGCAAAGTCTATTTTCTTTCCATAGTACCACACATAATTCACAGACAAGTAATGGAAAAATTCAAAAAACATAAACATTTTAAACCAGATAGTTATTCTGAATCAAAGGAATTATTTTCACTGACACATTCAGGAAGCAGCAATACATCCATCCTGGATCATTAAAAAACTGAAGGCTTGGCAAGGTGGCTCCTGCCTATAATCCCAGTACTCTGGGAGGCCGAGGCAGGTGGATCATGAGGCTAGGAATTCAAGACCAGCCTGGCCAACGTGGTGAAACCCCATCTCTACTAAAAATACAAAAAATTAGCCGGGAGTGGTGGTGCACACCTGTAATCCCAGCTAGTTAGGAGGCTGAGGCAGGAGAATCACTGAAACCCAGGAGGCAGAGGTTGCAGTGAGCCGAGGTTATGCCATTGCACTCCAGCCTGGGCGACAGGGCAAGACTCCCTCTTGAGGAGAAAAAAAAAAAAAAACGATACTGAAAATCTACATGCCAATTAGGTAAACAAAGAAAAACAAGTCAAACATGGTAAAACATTTAGCAACCAAGATTGTCCTTCGTATAGCAGAAAAATTATGAATACATCACACCTGAGTCAAGAAAGCGCCATCACCATTAGAATCATGGACTATTGCTCCAGGATCAGACCCTACCAAGTTAAAGCTAAGAAAAGCTTAGTCTGTCTGTCCCTTTTTTTTTCTTTTCTTCCCTTTAACTACTCCCCATCTTATTAATGTGATTAGATCTGACTCACCTCAAGTTGTTGCTTTAATGTGTGTTTAATTATGCCTTGTTGAGATTTGCATAACCAAGCACAGCTTGCTGCTTCTGGAAGAATGTCTCTGTCCCTCTTAGACTTCCTTAGATTAGGAAGACATAAGTTCCTTTAAGGTTACTAGTAATCCAAGGAAAAATAGTAGCTGCATTTGTAATTGGTAGGAATCAGACTTTTGTCCCTCTAAAACAGAATCTCTCTGTTCTGCTTACTCTAATGACACATGGAACACTAAAGGTTTAAGATAGACTGTTTCCACAGGTCTCTGTCCCTCCTTAAAACTATATATTCACTTCACCAAAGGAATTAGTCCTGCTAGATGTCGATATAACCCATGTAATCCTATACAGCTTACTACTGTTATTGCAACATTTGAAAACTCTTCCCCTTTATTAAGTTGTATTTATGGTATAGGAGTAGACATTTCAGGAAAGGATCCTAAAGAAAGTTTTGAAATGCACTTTATTGCTCCTTTAACCTCTTTATCAATCACTCCTCCTAGACACAATGACAAAACCAAAGTCTCAATGGTAGAAGTAAAAGACCTAAGGCAAACCATAGCCATCGAACCAGAATATGAGGATGCAAATACCTGGTTAGAATGGTTTAAATATTCCGTTTGCACCTTACATAAATGCAACTGTTACGCTTGGGCGCAGAGTAGGCCAGAGGTCCAGGTTGTCACCTTTCCACTTGGATGGTCCCCAAATCAAGTGGACATGGAATGCATAGTAGCTTTCTCAGGATTCCAACACCTGGAAAAACAAATTGTGCCAAGTTCTTTTCCTGCTATTCCCTGAGGTTCAACACCCTGCAGGTCAGCCCCCAAGGGCCATACAGCCTCTAACTCCCAAGGCAAAGTTCACCACACGTCTCTTGTGACAGGGGGCGAACCTACTGTTCCTTTGAAACTTAACAGGATGCAGGGAAATCAAACACTTCCAAGAGCTAGCTCATCAGTCCACCTTTACTCATCCCCAAGCAGATGCATGGTGTTATTGTGGAGAACCCTTACTGGACACTCAGCCAAATAATTGGAGCGGCATTTGCCCTCTAGTCCAACTGGCTATCCCTTCTACCCTGGCATTTCATCAACCAGAGAAAGAGAAATTACAACGGCAAATAAAAGAAGCTCCTTATAGGTCTTTTGAGTCTCATGTCTATTGAGATGCAATTGGAGTCCCTTAAGGAGTGCCAAATAAACTTAAAGCCCGAGATCAGAGAGCTGCACAATTTAAATCAATGTTGCTCTGGTAGGTAATAGTTAATAATAAAAAAAATTATAGATCAGATAAACTACATTTATTCCAACCAACAGCGGTTTGTTAACTATACTACAGATGCTGTCAAAGGAAGAGCTGAACAATTAGGATCCACTAGCCAAATGGCCTAAGAAAATAGAATAGCTCTAAATATTTTAGCGGAGAAAGTTGGTTTTTATGTTATAATTAAAACCCATTGTTATACCTTTATTCCAAACAACACTGTTTCCAATGGGAGCATAACAAAAGCCCTCCAAGGACCCACTGCTTTATCAATTGATATAGCTAAAACTTCTGGCATTAATAACCCTATTTCAAATTGGCTCAAAAGATGGTTCAGTCAATGGAAAGAAAACATAACCACAATTCTTACCTCTCTAGCAACTGTGATAAGTATACTGTTAGACGTTATGTCATACCATGCATCCGAGGACTCATGCAGAGGCTAGTAGACACAACTTTTACTAAAATATCCTCAATCTTAGTTAGATTCTCATAAGGAAAATATATATATCCTCAACCCCTCCTCCACCCTATTCAGATAGATTACTTCTTTTAGGAGAACAAACAGAACAACTAAGCCAAGACATGTTAAGGAAGTTTGAAGAGAAAAGAAAATTGTTAAGATTCAAAATTAGGGATTGTTATAGTGAACCCTATGTTTCTTTTCAAAGAATCAGCATGTCAGTATGTTCAGCTCTCTTTTTCTTTAAATCTCTAATTTAAAGTTTAACTTCCTTGTAATTCCAGTAAACAACCTTCTCCACTTGTTCTCATCAGTAGTTCACATCTGCTCCCCCTCCCCCTAATCCTGACTCATCCCAGTCACCTGATCACCCCTGGCTATCTTCTCTGACCCACCTGTAACTGTCCTCCCTGCCAAAACACTCACCCTGCCAGTCCAGCTGGGACCCCTGCTCTTTTTTTTTTTTCCCACCTCTGGTTTCATACTGGACCCTGCTCTTTTCAGAATAGCCAATCAGGATTAGTCTAGCTTGTGTGGTCTAACCCTAGCCAATAGGGACTAGGGACAACCATCTGGCATAAGTACCCCTTCACTCCTTGTCCAAGCATGCAGCCGCCATTGTTCCATCTGTATGCCATACCCTTCTATAGAAGTAAACTGCCTTGCTCAGGAAAACAAACAAACAAACATGGTGAAACATTTATCTACCACATAAATTGCTTAGTAGGTACAGAAAGATACAGAAGGTATAGAAAGCTTTAGATTTAGTTCACATATTGTATTTACTTAGAATCTATAGTCTAAGATGACATATTTCTCTATTTTCATGAAAATTAAACAAAGCACATTTATTTTTAATTAGTGGGCTAAGATACAACCAACAGGCCGTGAAGTAATTTTGTTGTTTATAGAATGAGTCCCACTACAAAACTTGCAATTTATTTTCAAAGCATGATTTGGAAACAAAATGCAGAGCAAAACAAAGTTTTATCTTGTCTTCTCTTCATATCACCTGAAGAGGTTCTTTTGAGAGTAAAAACCTGGAATCTCTATCTTCTAACTTATATTACAGGACTCAACCCTGCCAATGAAAGCAAGGATTACTATTATTGACTAACAACATTCAAGTTAGGCTTCCAGATAACGAAGTTTTGTTTTGTTTATTTATTGTTTAGGAATGCAATCAATTCCAGATTGTCTATAGCCATGTCTGAATTCCACCCTGACTTTTAATCCCCTCTCTGCCAACCAGCATGCTCTGGACCACTAGACCTCACACCTAAGTTACAGTAAGTAGGTTTATAAGTGTCTTAATGTTTGCCATAATTAAGCAAATCAGAAAGTCAGAAGAAAAAAAATCACAATGTTTTCTAATGGTACATAGAAATCAATGATACACCTCTCATTCATTAGCAAGGATGACTTGGACATGACCATTCTGTTGAACTATATTGCACAGTTTTTCATCACTGAGTTATTCTGCATTAATGATAAGGTAAGAACAGCAGAACGCATAAGAAAAAATTGTTTCCTGACAGCATTGAATTGATCAATAATAATATATGAAAGCAGGTTTCTGCAGTTTACAGAGAAAAACAAGAATGATAGGGAAAATGCTGAATACGGTCCTCTGTAGCTTGAGGAAAAAAGTGTAATCTCCTTCCTTGATCAATTTTGTTAGTCAGTCAACTAACATCTTGGTTCTAATTTAAGAGCTGGACCTGTTCACCCACTGAATTACAAGACAGAATGGAATGCCTAACATTAAAAAGAAAAAGAATTCTTAAAATTTTAAATGCACATAATACTTTGAAATCACAAAAAATACAATAAAAGAAGTCACTTTTAGTTGATTTTACTACTTTTAAAAGTAATAATACAGAAAATGTGAAAAACATTAGTCTGTAAAAAGAAAACACAAATCACTAGCAATCCTACCAAACAGAGATAGCTATTGACATGCTAATGTATGTATTTCATTATTTCCTTAAATAAGGCTTGGGTGTGAGTTGTAAATCCAGAATCAAACTACTTCTCATCACTGGTCTAAGTTACCATCATCTCTTGACAGGGTTATTACAATCACCTCTTATCTCCATGCTTCCATAACAGCTCCTCTCTAGTCTATTCCACACCAAACAGCCAAAAAGATCTTTAAAAATATCAGTCATATTTCATCCCTCTGCTCAAAACCCTACAAAGACTTCTCATCTTATCACTGTATAAGTCCAAAGGGCATACAAAGGTCCTACAAGGTCCTCCATTTTCACCCTTACCCTCTACTTCTCTCACCCTGTTTTCCATACACTCTCCTCCCTGGTTTAACTGCGCTGGTTAAGCTGACCTCCATGTTCTTGCTGGAATACATACAGTTCTCTCCATAAGGAATACTCTTACCCCAGATGTAAACATTGCTCTCTTCCTCCCTAACTAACTATCTTCAGGTCTTTATTCAAATATCATTTTTCAGAGACTTCCCTGACCTATCATAGATAAAACAGCATTCTTTCCCTTTCCCTCCCTTGGTATACCTTATCACCCTACTTTATATTTTTCTCCAGTTATCACCAAAAACTGACAAATTATTTGTTCATTATTCTCTACTAACTAGAATGTAAGTTCCAAGAAGGCAAAGAAACGGCCTGTTTTGTTTTTTTCCTCACTCAGTGCTCTATCTCTTGATTCTAGAAAAATTCCTGGGATACAGTAGGTACGAAGTATTTGTGAGTGAATGGCTGAATAATTGCATGAGTAATTAGGATCAAAGTGTATCTAAAATTTATACTCAACTTTTGTCATTTACTATTAGCATTCCTAATTATTACATAGCATTCCATTATAGATACATGCTATATAGTACAATGAATCAATTTTCAATTTTTGTAAAAAAATGTTTTACTTATTTATTTTGAGAGGAAGTCTTGCTTTGCTGCTCAGGCTGGAGTGTAGTGGCACAATCTCGACTCACTGCAATCTCTGCTTCCGGGCCTCAAGTGATTCTTGTGCCTCAGCCTCCCCAGTAGCTGGGACTACAGATGTGTGCCACCACGCCCAGCTAACTTTTGTATTTGTAGTAGAGACAGAGTTTTGCCATGTTGGCCAGGCTGGTCTAGAACTCCTGACCTCAGGTGATCCACTGGTCTTGGCCTCCCAAAGTGCTGGGATTAGAGGCTTGAGCCACCATGCCTGGCCAATTTTCTATTTTAAATATTTAGGTTGTTTCTAAATGTACTGTATCATAAATATCCCTGTATATACAGAATATCTTTGAAATACATGTGTTCTTGAATAGCTCTGATTTTTCTAGGATAAATTATTTTAAGTAAAATTGTTGGATCAAAGGGTATTTAGATCGTGAATGCTTTTAATACATTTTCTAAACTGCTCTAGAGGCTGGGTGAGCTAGCTTGCGCCTATAATCCCAGCACTTTGGGAGGCTGAGGCAGGCAGATCACTTGAGGTCAGAGGTGCAAAACCAGCCTGGCCAAAATGGCAAACCTCTGTCTCTACTAAAACTATGCCACTGCCTTCCAGCCTGGGCAACAGAGTGAGACTGTGTCTCAAAAAAAAAAAAAAAAATATATATATATATATATATATATATATAATTTTTAAAAACTGCTCTAGAGAATGGCTATTAATATAAGCTTACATTTCTCCTCACTAACAATGCATATGTGAGTCCTTTTTCAACAAAACACCAAAGAGCTGATTTTATTTTCCCCCTGAACCTAAAAAGAAATACATACATGGTCACCATATAATTTTTGTTTAAAAAAATTTTTTAATAGAAAAGTTAGAGGAAAATATAAATTTTATCAGTTAATGACAGTGGTTGTTTCCAAGCACCCTGTCCCATAGTGGCATTATCCTTTGTAAATGCTTTACCAATCTGGTAGATTTAAAAATGTACTACATTTTTTTTAAATGATACCTTATTGTTTTATTTTCCATTTTCTTGTTTTTTTAATGAGATTGGCGATGCTTTCCCACATTTATCGGTTGATTCTGTTTTCCATGACAAACT